AACTATATGGTATAGTTTGATTTAGAGCCTCACATGGTCCCACACTCGTATCCCTAACGCCCCTAACTTAGCCCTAATGGCCGAGCTAAGTCCTACAAGGAAATCGATGGAAATAATTCGCCGGCCAGCAACCTAAAGAATTATGTTAAACCTAACACAAAATCAAGAGCAACCTAAACGAACCTTACACAAGCCTAACTTTGACGAGAGAGAAACGAATGTGGGTGCAAGGGGTAGCTACAATAGAGCTAATATCAGTATGAGATGATGCCCTACCTAACATTGATTATTAGCAAAACCATGCCTAATAATCCGACCCTAACACCTTCTCAAGCCTAACAGCACACCTAACACCACCAGGAAACCCATACCGCCAGTATGCACCAGTCCAGTTCGGCTTTCGTTAGCATTCTGCGACCCTGCCTCGGGATCCTGGTCGTCTTTCAGTGTTATGCCCACCCAATTTGCCACCTCCACGACCCTCTCAAAGCCAGCACATGAGCTGGATACAAGGGAGTGAATCATTCGCTCACTAACCGTCTCGGCCAAAACAAGGGTACCAGCTAATCCACTTCACTGGTCGATGACTCATAGTCGGAGCAATGGGGCAACTAAACCTCGTACCAACACACACACACCATACGTCCACCGGTCATATCGGAGACTCAGAGGGCGAGATAGCACGTCAATAAACCTTTCTCCAAAGGAACAGGGACATAGATTTGCAGAACCGTACGTCGCTTCTAATCGCCTCCCCGTTCCAACACACACCGGAAATATTCCTACATGAAACCAACCAACCTACTCAAACACCCACCTACCTTTATAAGACTTTTTTTCCTCCATAAAATTATATCTATTCAGAGATGGTTATAACACGAAGCCACTATATGTGCCACCAGGCTAAGCAAAAATCTGAAATATGGAAACAAAACATTGTGTAACTAAAGCGACAAGGTGAACGAACACATACATGTATATTAATTAAAAATGGAGAAAATCTTTGCCCGTTGAGGGGTTTTCAATGAATAAAGACAATATATGCAACAATTACATACCTTATGACGGTGAAAGTGTCTCCCAGCAAGGTTCTTTAGCCTATAACCTCTTCAGTCAACAATGAGCTCCTTGGTTACATACAGTAGCTTTTATTTCTTAACCCATGATTTCAGCTCACATCCAAGTTGTGGTTTAAAACAACAGAGTGTAGAGGTCATTTGTTCGATTGGTCGTACTTTCTATCTGTATAGTAGACAAGTCGAACGTACCCAATCAAGAATTGTTCAGCTGGCTAGAAAGAACTGTTCATCAACACTTTTTTAAACAATGGTTAGTTTGAGGTTTCTAATCACTATTGTACTACACTGAGCACAATTCACCCCTTATTTTCTCCCTTAACCAAATTTTGTAACTTTTGAAAAATAATTGGGATGGGGTAATCTATGAAACGAATGAAGGATAGGGGGGGGGGGGGGGCATTTATAAATGATGGGTTAGTTAGAAGAAATATATTATATAAGTCAGCTAGAGGGGAGGGGTGGGGTATCTTAAAGAGTATACTGATTGCCTGATAAATGAATAATAAACATTTTCCATTGCTTCTCTTGATTTGTTGAAGTAACATTACATCTATATCTAAGTATTTATGGAAAATTTACGTTCACGGACACCATGTAGAATCACTCCACTAAGACATTTTAAGCAAATGATTGTAGACTCTACCACTGGTTTACTTTTAGGTTTATTTGCATACTTTTTGAACAGGTTGTTCCACAGATGTTATAGAACGAATGTAATCCATCTATTTTTCCAAAACTGCCAAACACTAGTATGAGTATAACCGGTAATAGTCTACTTTCAATTTGACTAGCTCAAAATGGTCATGGTCACCATATATTGAATTTTTTAGGAGACATTAAAGATTGGTCAGGCTTTAATTCGACATTTTGGAAAGCTTTCAACGAGATTTCTGGAAAAAGTTGTAGAAGGTTGAATTTCGTGTTTTAACATGGGAAGAGATGGCAAATGAATTAGTGGAGTGAGTCCTGTCTGTTGTTATGACATGATTTGTGTCCTTTGAGGGAATCCCGATAATTTTCCTTGTGTCGCTTTCGTTGATTGTCTGAATCACGAGGAGTCAAAAAGTTCCATTTTCGTATTGTCTGCTGGCTATCGTCTGCGGACTTGATCTTAGTTATTGTCTGCAAACCTTATTGTCTGTCCAGTTGATCTCGACGAGAAAGAGATCTGTATCTGTTGCTCTAGGAAAGAAGTGGATAACTGGAGAACAAAGTAATGCAGTCTGCTTTCTGAAACCTATGAGAGATCGATTCATATTGCAAGTTATGAAATGCAAACCGAAGTGAATATTGACCACTGCATTGAGAAATGTCAAATTAAAAGCACACATTTAGGCTATCCGGTTTGGAGAAATAGAAATCAAGCAAATTTACATTAATTTTACAGCAAATTTACATTAATTTTACAGCAAATTTACATTAATTTTACAGCAAATTTACATTAATTTTACAGCAATATGAAGCTTTTCTTTGCGTAGTATGATATTTTACAGTGAAATATAACGCCAATTCCAATTACTATCTGATATCATGGCTTTTACTGGATGTGAAAAACATTTGATCAATTGGCAGTTAACACCATTCACTATTTGAGGACTGTAATTAAAACTGACACATTTATACGTCTGTAAACATTGATGACTACACTCGTATTCATTTGATACTTGAAATGGCGAGAAAGCACAGTTTGGATTTGCACGTTTACCTTCAATCTTCCTTATATATTTTTCTGAAACAGAAATATTTAACTATCAATGGAAATATCAATGTTTCCAAAAATTTAGTTTTGCCTTTGGTGAATTTAATTCAAAAATATATTTTTTTTAATATTTCCTATACCAGAGACCAAATATTTGAGGACTATGGGTATACTGTCGTTGTTCGCACGCCCCAGTTTGACCTTGTCCATCTTGATACCCATCCTTACATATAGCCTATACTTGAGAAACTTTGTAGCCTATCTTATTCCAATTTTCATTCAGGCGTCTGTGTTTCCCGCAATTCCTCTAAAACTAGTTGTTGATGACGTCACTAATAGCGAAGGGTCTTATGCGATGTATATTTTTTTAGCGATTAGGGACGTCATCAAACACTTAGTTTTATTGGAATTGCAGGAATCACAGACGTGTGGAAGAAAATTGGAATGGTGCAAATTGATGCTACCAGTGTCTCCTATACACATAAGAAAATGATCGCAAAGGGGTTTTCTAGTTTTATTATGACTAGCGACTAGGCCCCGAAGTCGTCACAATAACTCGAAATCGTCTGTCATCGAGTTTTTTTTTGTTGAAAACCTTTATGCAAGTAATTCCAATATCAGACTTGACTTACCAAGTGGCAAGTATGCTGAACAACCACTGTACGGATTACCAAACACCTGTACTTCACACAGCGTTAAATGATCATTGTAATAAGACATCAGTAAAACGAATCTTCCAACGCATTTCTTGGTACATGTTAAATTTGCCCATTGACCTCCTGGTACCGCCGTTAGCTGCGTGGCACAAATACAAAATTCATTCGCCGTCATGTTATACTTGATGTGAGGCCCAGGATCATATTCCCAAACAGAAATGGTGAAATTTTGCAATCGTTCCACTGAAATTAAGTAAAATATTGATATTTTAAAAGAATATATAATTGTATAAGGGAGTAAATCTGGAATACAATGGAACATAGTTCAAGATGCCTGATGCCTTGACATCCTTGCCTATTTTATGTCAGGGAAGTTTGCATTTGATAACGAATGCAGCCAATCAAAGCCACCGACAGAAAGACTGCAAATAATGACTGCGGTTAATTACGATAGGAAAGCTCAGATTATTTTGTGCTGTATTGTCTAGCGTACAATTTAGTGCTGCTACAAGCTTCCGTGATAGAAGACAAGTGCCTAATGATGTTAAGGTATTGGACAGAGTTTGTAATGGCTTGACACTGTGACAAAGAGGTGATGCGGTGGTTTTAGTGCAACAGGGACAGAACACATCCAATACATCGTAAAATATGCTCTGAAAGAATGAAAACTACTTTACCACAACAATCTCCTCTATTGAGAACATTGACATTTGTAATTTTGTAATTGGCTTCTAAGTCTACCATCCACCAATTTGGGACAGGTCCTGTTGTACTTTGTGTATGAGAACAAAATGAGGCATTTCCATCAACTGCTACCGATGCCGTGTGATGCGTTTTATAGTCATTTATTTGTAAAGCTGGCTTGTTTAAAGCAAGATTTTCTAATCCAACAACTATAAAAGAAATACAAATCAAGAGAAGATTATATCAGTAATAAATTCCTTAGGTCAGGACATTGTGCTGTACACTCTAAGGGGAAGTCTGATTTTCTCGTTAGGCAGAAATGTTTTTCCTCAAATTTATGAAAACCACACACCAAAATCTAACGCACCTTAACTAATCTGAAAGTTTTAACTATCCGTTAATTTTAGAACGCCGACATAAACGATAAACGTAAATGTTTTAACAACCCTATGTTTTAGGGATGTTGGAATACCAATGTACGAATTTTAGCAAAATAAACGCCAAACTTTAGAGGAATATGTCTCTTACTTATTCTCAACTTTTCAATAAGAAATATCGAAACATTTTAAGGCCAAACAAAACACTAGATCAAGCTGCTATAATTATCAGTTGATACGCTCTTTTTTTTCAAAACTTTGCTAAAATGAGTCATTGATCAGTAGTGAACTTTTGCGGTGTCATATACAAATGAAATGAAATGAATGGAGTTTTACGTCCTACTTTTGGTGTCATATACAAAAGAATCCCTCTATAATCAAATAAATCTACAAAACTAGGTAGGCCTAAAAATCTATTAAACTAAGTAATGCTTAGAAGCCTGTTTCAACAATTTTTGAGAAATTTTATTTCCATTTTCATAGGTAGACAAACAAACCTATTTCTGGTAAATTACTTACTAATCAAATCCTGAAAGCTTATACACACCAGGTAAAACAGAATCCATCTTAACCACATCTTGCCGGAGTTTATAAAACTACGTGTCTATTACAATCTTTGAACGGCATTTAGAAGTAGAAAAAGAAACTTAAATAAGAATACTATTATGGCTAAATACTGCTTCCTTAGCAACGTTCCTAATCACATGCAGGAATCTTTATCAAACATAAAACAATAATGATAGATTACAAAGCATCCTTTTCCATAGACCTAGGTGCTCTAAATTGACTTGTCTATTATGTCTAGTTAAGAAGGAATGTGTATATAAAAGGTGATATATTATTTAATAAAACAAGAGTACTTGGAAACATTAAGAGGATAGATTTGCCATCCGTTTGACGAATTGTACCTAATATCCTTTACGTCTTAATTAGTGAATAAAAAAATCTGATTCAGTTCAATTCGGTTCGCTTTCGCACTGCAATCCTATCTGGAGAGCAGCTTTCGCACTGCCGAGAAAAGATATCTCGATAACTTTTTTCATTTTTAGTAACACATCATGTAACAGAATTGAAGTACAATAATCATCATTACAAAATATAAACATAATATAATAAATAATAATGTGTCCTCTTCCGATCCATGAGACGCCATTTTGACGGGGTTTTATTCATGAGTTACCCCACATGATATTCTCTTCCGAATAACTTCATGTTGGTTTCGCATTGCCAATGATCTAGATGGTATCAAGACGAACCTCTGGTTATAACCGAATAGGTTTATTTACCAGTGCGAAATTATGCGGATAAAACTGGATAGAATCGAATTACTTTAGCAGTGCGAAATGGGTATGAAATTGATTGGGTATGTCTCGAAAACAGTAATAGTATTCTCGGCTCACTGTCGATATTTGGGCCTTCAAACTGTGTATCCCGAATTATCCGCGTTCGAAAGTTAACATGACGACTCGTCTTTTCTTGATACTCAGATAATATAGGCCTTCTCTGAGACTAAGGTATCGTTTGTTTAAAAAAAATGGCGCATCTGTCCCTTTAATGATTCCTTGACTCTTACATAAAAACAGAAAATCTATATTGACCCCTTTAGCTGAGGTTCTATTATAATCGGTATCTGTTTACATTAAATATATCACCATCACTCTCTACATCTACAAACGAATTGAACCAATTAGTTCGAAACATCTGCCTCAATTGCAGCCTCCTATAGATATTTTGACTTTTGTTTGCTTGTGGAGGCAACCAGGCTACGTTATGATTTACAACAGTTTTAATTCAATCATTCATGTATGACTACAATGAGATAATAGGTTTCTATAGAAATTAATCATTCAAAGTTGGATATTTTCATTTGCCACCGAATATAAAAAATCAATGATCCAAAATCGAAAATTGTTGCCAGTTGAGCCTCCCTTAAGAAAATTTGCTGTTCAATCTGATAGTTTTTCGGATTAAATTATAGTAAGTCACATGACCTGTCATATGATGAAAACATGGCTCCTACAATAGTACGCTCTGCTCTAAGTGTATTTTTTGAGTATGACACGCCTAGAATAGTACATATCCGTAGTAAAAAAGTTGGTGTAATCAATAGATTTCTTCAGATTTGTATAATATCATATATTATTGGGTATGTTATTGTTTTTAAGCAGTTAGTAATGACTTACTAACACACGATTTTATCATGGTGCATCTATTTATCATAATGCAGCTCAACAAAGAAGAATAATTTGTAAATTAATTCTAGAATGTCTCCTTTTCTTTTCATTTATTTATACATTTAGTCATTGGCAACGGTGCTCACTCTATGTCTAATACACAATTCTGATCTGCGTCATTCAATTGAGGAAACCTGGTCGAAAAGTCAGAATTTACCAGTTTTAACCTGGGATGGGGTCTTTCAGTTTCTTTGTTGCCTGGTCATTGTTGGTTGGAAGGCAGCCAACTCCAATGCACTACTCCACTAGCTGTGGCATCACAACTTAAATAAACTTATCTTAAGGGTCATTTGAACATTACATCTAGCAGACGTCAATGTTAATCTTTAACAACTATGCTATTTCACTCTTGGCTATTTCTCTTCCTTAATTAATAACAATTGTCATTTGCTAATGTACTTAAAGGTTTGCCATTGTGTATAAAAAAGGATACCAAGAATTTGATGATGTTAATAGTGCTGTAACCACTAAATTAAAGGGGGTAGCTCTGACTAATTTAACAGATGAAGAAGGTATTAATGGTACTCGGGTATGGGATGTAGCTGATTATGTTATACCTCCACAGGTATAGAAATTTATTCTTCTTTATTAGCTGTATAGACTTTCCAACAGAGTTGAATCGAATCTATACACCCAGTTGCAGAGTATCTTCACAATGTCAAGGTTTTACAAACTCAAGCTGATACTTTGACATCAAGAGGCACATTTCTTGAACGGTATCACAGAAGTTTGTAAATGCAGTGATTTCTGTGTTTGTGTGCAATGTTATACCTTTAAATTCTTTGTAGAGTGGCATCAAATGTTTTGAAAGAGCCACATTACATGCCAAAATCCCTAGAAATCAAGTGCTTGAATCCTTTAACAGTAATAAAACTAATGTATTTGTGCTTAAAACCATTCTAATGGCTATTTTGTAGGAAAACAATGCTTTTTTCGTGACAACAAATTTGATTGTAACTCCAGCTCAACAACAAGATATATGTGAAGAAGTAAGTTTTGATCTTTTTATATATCCACAGTGAAGCACCAGATGACAATGGTGCCAAACTTTCACTGAAATTCTCTTTAGCAATCTACAGGTTCTTTTGAAGACTTAACAAAACCTTTTTACACTATGTAGTATTTGTAGAGTTTATTTCTCACTCCTGCCAGTGAATTTACTTATTCATATATCACAATTTCTAATATCAGGATCTTAACAGTTAATTTCAAATTTGCTGCTCTGATGAGGATTTTACAACAGAAATAAACAGAAGTTTACAGGATAAAATGAGCTCTTGGCAATTTGATAAACATATGAAAACTAATGTCTTGTGTTAGTATGTGCCTCTCATTTCTAACTGTTGTGCAAATCCCTTTTCATATCATTTACTTTTTCATGTTTGATTTTGATAGAGCCCATCTGTAGAGGATGGTATTTGCAGTCCAAGTAAACCATGTATACCAAATACACCAGTCGTCAATGGCAACGGTAATTATTTTTCCAATATTGTTCTAAACCACAAATCTTGTCTGTTCATTTGTGATTTGTGCAGGTATATCATAGAAATATGACATGCCAAAACAAAATGTCAATCATATCACATGATCATGAATATTTGAAGACATCTGGCATACAAATACGTAACTAATTATCAACCAAATACATGTAAAGTACCATTAAGGAATGTTAATTTGGCAACAGCAAGTGTTGAAAAGAGACACTCAGAAGCACTGGCTGTGGCATCATATTTTTCTTACCTTAGAGAGGAGATTTTGGGAAAATCTATGTTGACAAAATCCTTGATACATTTCTCCATTAAGTTGAAGGACTGTATCATATACTGTATATTTTATATTGCCAACAGGTATTAAAACTGGTGAATGTATAAAGTCCAGTAGAAATGAATCTGTTAATGTATGTATGATATATGCTTGGTGTCCTGTAGAAAAAGATGCTAAGTGAGTGTACTAAATTAATACATATTAAGGGGTTGTAATGAGGTTCTCTAGCTCTGTTATGTATACCATTTATGGTTTCTATTACCATCATTTTTTTTTGTCAGATGACTGTGGTTCTTTGATTATAAAGTTCTGAACCACTTAAGCTAATGATATCTGCGGGATTTTGAGATAGTTACGTCATAAAACATTTAGTTTACTACAGAAATTTCCCTTATTCAGCACTGCATGATGTTGCCTGTATGTGATTCAATAGTTTCTGCTCTGATAAAGTCTTTATGTTTGCTATATTTTTTTCAGACCTGCAGAGCCAGTGTTACTAGCATCTCAAAATTTCACAGTTTTCATAAAAAACAACATCAAATTTCCCAAGTTTAACGTTAGTAGGTAAGTATTAAAACTTTCTGCTTTTAAGTTGGGGAATAATATTCATCGATATCACATCTTTAGCTTTTCTCAAAGGCTGCATATCTGTCCATCATTTAGCCTTGAGAAACAGACTGATATTGTGTAATGTATATTTATTTAATACATCTCAGCCCTGCAAAACTGAAGATGTTTATGCCATTTTTTTTTTAATTGTTTCCTAATCTATATATTTTTACACATTTTGGTGGTGGCTGTTCACTTTCATTATGTTCATTGAAAGGGAAGGTTATTAGTTTTTCTAATTTGTTATAATTAAAACTTCTTATTTTTATATAATTTTTTATATTTATTTTATATTTAATGGGTGTTCATCCTTTGCCTTGTTATTATAAAAATTACACGCTAAGAAAATTATGAAATAATAATTTTCTAATGAAAATAGGTTGAAAGTCCAACTTACAATTTCTTTATATTACTGAATAGTCAGAATACCTAAATTTTACTATAAGAGATTGCCTTTTCTCCCCTTCCATTCTTACTTTTTTTGATTTCCTTTTTATGAAATGCAGACGGAATTTGCCAGACAGTGCATCAGATACCTTTCTCCAGAGTTGTAGGTATGCAAATGATGCCGAAAATAAAACTTGTCCAATATTTCAACTTGCACAGATCGTTGGGTCAGCAAATCAAGATTACCGTAAAATGGCAGAGCAGGTATTTTTCATTTCTGAGTTTTTTTTTTATCAAGTTTATTTCCTTTCAATTAATTATCCAAATCATAACCATATATAAGATATATACATTAGAGTTAGCTTATTAACATAACCAAACTGCTAAGAGTTAGTTAACTGTGGTAAACTTTGCCAATCATTTCAGTTAACAGAAACTTTCCATTTTACAGGAGAGATGTTTAACATCCATTGTTGATAACACAAATAGGACTTGTAGTAGAAATGAGAAATCATTCTTTTAGAAAATCATCATTCTTTTAGCTTTTAGAAAGTCATCACTCTATTAGAAATCATCGTTCTTTTAGAAAATCATCTGTTTTTTTTTTAAGAAAATCACCATTCTTTTAGCTTTCAGAAAATCATCATGTTATATTCAGTAGATAAAATTTGTAGAGGAAAGGCAATGTTTTATAATCTATATAATATTTCAACTTGTTTTTAACACTATTTATAATTCTCTTATCTCTGATTTTTTTTATTGACAATTAAATCTTAAAATTTTTTTGCACATCCAGTTGATACTAATAGATATATGAGACATCTTCATGTTAGCACTCTTATTTTCATTCTGGAATCTCATTTATTGATTCTTAGTAAGTTAAAACTAAAATTTGACAAATTTGATCCAAAGGATGAGCACCAATTAAAGGTTCTGAACCATGCTCATATCAGACCTGCCATTTTTATTTCTTGCAGACGTAATATATTAGGTTTCCTTGATGATAAAGAATTGGCTGCATGTCGATTTGATTCTAAAGATAAAAAGAATCAGTTTTGTCCTATTTTTGTATTGAATGAAATTGTTGAAAGTTCTGGTCAACAGTATGAACATCTTGCTACATCGGTAGGATATTTGTCAAATAGTAGAATGCTTTAGTCAATAAATAAGTCTATAATAGATTTAAAGGTTTGGGGTTGTTTATGGTATATTAGAACTTGCACCATCATCGAATTCTCACCCAGAGATGTAAGCCTATTTTGCAAGATCTTACTTTGAGGGACTAATTGGGAGCTTTTTCTAGCCTTTGTCTTTTTTTTTACCATTGTGATTCCAGTTATTCCAGAAAACTTAACCAGATAAGGAAAAATCAAAAAACATCTTGCTCGAGTACTATTTACAAATGTATATCTGAATTTCAGATATCAAAAAATTGAAATAGTACCATGTGTCATAGATACACAATACACAAACCATCTTAGACTGTTTAAAGCCTGAATGTTGCACATTATCAGATACCTAAAAACATCCAATTTCTGACCAATCAATTGAAACATTCAGTAAAATCTTTCTGTTGTTAGAAATTTAAGTTGTGTGGCCAAAGTTCAAATAAACGACCTTCATTTCAAGTTTGAAGGTCATGGACTGCTAAATAGTAATATTAAGTTGTAATTTATGTAGGGAGGAGTAGTACAGATATTGATACAATGGAATTGTAATCTAGACTACAGTCAATCAGAGTGTGTACCAGAATATCAGTTCAGAAGACTGGATAGTGACGACTACAAGGTTTCTAAAGGTTTTAATTTTAGGTTGGTATATTTCCACTATGGCATCAATCCTGATATTTCTTGCAAAACTATATTTAATTTGTTAATCTCTTGGATGTCCATAATCAAGAAAATAAGATTTACATTTATATGTTAAGTCAACGACAAGTGCTATAACCAGTAATGGTTCAGACATCATTTTATTAGTTATGTCAAACTAATAGTGGTTGTGGGTTCTAAACGTGGTTGGCTTATGAAATTTGGAGACCTTGAATAAGTCATCTTTCCTCATTATTCAATTGAAACCCAACTGTAAAAGGGTACAGCTAATCTTGAAAGCTCAATGCCTTTATAAAGGATCCTCATGAATCTAAGTTATCCTTTCAAGTATTATCCAAGTATTGTTATTTGGTTCAGAAACCACAAATCAGTGGCATTTGAGTAGACTTGAGTTCAATAATTGCTCATTGTTATCGTATAACATTCTGGTGGCTAGTTAAACACAACATTGTGTTGTAAGTGAACAATACATACCAAATTCTTTATATCTATCTATTAACTGACAATAGTTTTACTATAGATATGCTGAAAACTATATTGAAAATGGTGTCTCTAAAAGGACATTGATTAAAGCGTATGGTATCAGATTTATAGTTACTGTTGAAGGCCGAGCAGGAAAATTTAATGTGGTACCTTTAATACTCAATGTTGGCAGTGGTATAGCTTTATTATCTGTTGTAAGTTCCTTTTTCATACCATTATCAAAATATAGACTGGGTAGTTTAACCCTTTGAACTTAATGACGTCACATGTGAACAGTTACTTAACTGGTATTTCTGATATTATATGACATTATTATGTCAGAAACAGAATGCCACTTTAAATGTTGCCAAAATCAAAACCCAAAATAAAATGATGAATATGCAGAGCAGCAGAGGATATAGTTATTTTGTCTTTTGTAGGCTACCATAATCTGTGATATAGTTGTATTATATTTCTTAAAAGCCAGATATTTTTTCCGTGAAAAGAAATATTTAGATGTTAAAGGAACTGATGCCTATGAGGTAAGTTAAAATATTTTCTCTAGATAGACAGGATTTCCGTTTAGTTAGGATGACTAGTTTTACCACAAGATAATGGAACATTTATAATCAATGCCAAATTATTGTTGCTTTACATTCATGATGTTGGTCATCTTCACAATGTCAAGGTATTATGAAGTCCATACTCCATCTTATAGACCTACCTTGAAATGCCTATTGACATAAGACAAAGTTCTTGCCATAAGTTCATACCGTGGCATTGTGCAGACAGACTTTATGGATAACCTTATATGGTGCTCAAAATTGGGTCTAAAACTCTTTTTTTCTCTATCAAATTGAAATTTGAAACCTGTCTAACCTCATTGAAGGTTGCATGTAATATTTGGAAATGTATTCTATTTACTATCGGTTTCTATAATATAATTTTAATCAATGTTTACAATAATTACAGTCAAATCCCTTAGAACAAAAAACAACTCAGTATGAATCTTTTAAGTAAGCCTTTTTCTGTAACCTGTTTGAAAATTATTCCTAACGCTTTACAAAATTGCTTAAAATCCATACTTTAAAGGGGCAGTATGCAAAATTTTCATTATTGAAAACGTCAATAATTATACCTGAAAATATCTCTTAATTATGTCATTTATATCTGTGTATCTACTTTATCAAACAGAATTTGTAAAACACAGTTAATCAAGAGCTTTGACTTGTTTTTGTTTTGGGCTTCATAATGAATCAATATTTGAAAAGTTGAAACCATTAGAAAATGTAGGAGACATTTATCTCTATGATTAGGTTTTATCAAAAGATTAACAAACTTTAAGTTCACATAAAGCTTTTGAATAATTTTGACATTAAAAAAATAACGATAGGATTTTTTATTTAAAACTTTCCGATAAGTTAAAGGGACACATTTCTCTAGATTTTGGGGTAAATTTTTGTTAATTTGAGTAAAAACATTTTTCGACCTTTGAAAAAAACATAATGCCCCTTTAATGATAGTTCACCACTCTCTTTCCTTATCTTTAATGTGAAAAAACTGTGAAACTTCTTATCCACACAGTACAGGAGTGTTATCTTGCCAAATAACAAACACAGCAGAAATAATCTAATATGAACTAATTGACGTTAATTATGAAAGTTAGGGTGACTGAGTTTAGGCGTAGGTTAAGGCCTGTTTTGCAAAAGCGTCAAGACCTCAAACTTCTGATATATAAAAAAAAGTTGGAACCTCTGAAAGAACTATAAAACTTCCACCAATACAAAGTACTTCTGCTTCATCCATTTTGTATTTTTTTAAAGGATGACGTCTTGGCTTAGAATTTTTACTATTATTTTTCATTATATGTCATTGTTTGTTAAAATTGAAATTTCGTATTGCGCAGCGTGACACAAAGTGTCGTATAAAAAAAGACACAAAGATTGTCATTTACAGTGCTGTAAAAATGGCCATCATAATATAGCAATCATGTAATCATTGCCATCATAATGTGTTGTTTTTCAGACATTAGATGAAGAAAGAGATGATAAATCAGGTTCTGTTACAAGAAGAAAGAGCGCGACCAGTTCAGATTTACATAGTGAAGATTAGCTGTTTTATCAAGAAAAGTATCAATTTTATTTTAGTGGCTGTTACTTACCGGTTAATTTTTAATTCAAAATAATCTTTGTGTTTTTGTTTATATGTGTTTTTAAAAGTTACATTAAGGATGCACATTTACGGTCTTCCAAAAAATACCATTTGAGGAAAGGAAACAAGTGCCTTTACATGTCACTTATCTGTGATAAGAATATAGATAGAGCTCATATTTAATATATATAGAGCTCATAATGTAATATATATAGAGCTCAACTTTAATTTAGATGGAGCTCAACTTTAATGTAGAAGTTGAGCTGTATCTATATAAAACTCAACTTTAATACAGATAGAGCTCAACTTTAATACAGATAGAGCTCAACTTTGATATAGAGCTCAACTTTAATACAGAGCTCAACTTTAATACATATAGAGCTCACTTTGATATAGATAGAGCTCAACTTTAATACAGATAGAGCTCAACTTTGATATAGAGCTCAACTTTAATACAGATAGAGCTCAACTTCGATATAGATAGAGCTCAACTTTAATATAGATAGAGCTCAACTTTGATATAGATAGAGCTCAACTTTAATTTAGATGGAGCTCAACATTAGTAAGCTCATTTGAAAAATTCAGAAAAAATTAAGTTGTCTATTTTTCTTTTAATGTGTGAAGTTATCAATAAATGTGCTTTTGTGTCTGATAGTGCTTAATTTCTGCGATCTGTATCACTTTCCAGAATGTAATTTTAGATTACAGTTCTGTAATTATAGATGAATTACTCTGAAAATATGAAACAGATAGTTGATATTTAACTCTTCAATTCTAATTATTGTAATATATTTCCATGGTTACTGTGATGAGGTAAAATTTGTTATGTTTATATACTTTTTGTTTTATATTGGTCACATGTTATTGTTGCTATATTAATTTTTTACTGATTTGAGCTCATTAAATTGTTAACATTTAGCCAAGTATATTTCAACGTTAACTTTTTTAGTGAGAGCACGAAATATTTTATTTCTTTTTATGTTCAGATGAAATGCTCAAATTTGGAACATTCCAGAGTTTTAATTTTTATATGTTTAACTATACTGTGTTCATAAGTATATTATGATCTATTTTTAAAAAAAGGGATTCAGTTATCTAATCATTCTATTTATCAACTGATAGAAGTTTAATTTGATATTAAATTAGTTATATTTGATACTGATATCACATATAATTATATTTCATACTGATATCACATAATTTGGCTATGTAAGATTGTAAGTCAAGTTCTGCGTAATCAAAGGCATATCTTCAGTTTTTAATTTTGAAAGGGTAGCAAACACTTATCTTCAGAATGTCAATAACAGTTCATAACAGTTTGACCTAGTGAAAATGGGCTGAGCTCTATGGTGTTTAAATTAGATGTCTGTATCTCTGTATGGTTTGATTTTGCTATCAAAGGTTTGTTATATTATGTTGTTATGGTGATTTTATAAAGGTTTGATAATATATGAATGATTGTATTAACTTTATATTGTAAGAAAAAAAGAATATTTTCTTATAAGTTGTTTAAATATTCAGTTCTACATAATGAAGTCATTTGACACAAATCTCTTAGAAATTAGAGACAGGGAATCCAAAAATTATAAGTCCAGGTTCAGAATGAAATAAGTTAAATACAGTGAATTGTGCAATGGGGAAACTTTAGCCAGGACCATGACATTAGCCTATTCCTAATTATATGCTCACTAAAATATAGTCCCACTCCTGTCAATCCATCCACAGTTGGCTTGTGAATTTAAAGGACCATTTGTTTCATGTCAGTCCTCAATTGAATCAACTTCGAGAATAGAGTGATGCTAGTTAACTAACAAACATTGGCAAAGGATGTGCCAATTGGTTAACTGCTTGTATCTAAAAGGGACCATGCTAAAATTGCAGTTAGCAAGCAGGCATAAAAGCCCTGTCCACATTAGAAGGTTGGTGAATATAAATTTAAAAAATTCACAAGTTAAATATATGTTTTTTTTAATTTCCTACAACATAAAGATGAAACAATGAAGTGTTTAGAACATTCAGATAAAAAAATACCATTTGAGTTGTGGTTTTTGGTCCGAATGACCACAAACTTTTTCATTTTAAACTGACTAACAATTTAAAAGGAGTGAATTTGATGTATTCATGTGAACCAACAGCAGTGTGATGATAATGAAAGTGATATAGAAAATAACTACCTGAGACTATAGATTAGATATTAACAATATAGTTACCGTATTCAACAAAATAATACAATCGATCTTAATTGTGTAACTGAAATAATAACTTTTCATGCATGAGTTAGATATTGTCTGGTTCTAAAAAACAAATTGTTGGATAAGTTCCTTAAAGGAATACTACCTCTTAAAATGACCATAAAATTTAAAGTCCCAAGCTTGACCAATAAGAGTATAATATATTCATCAGTGGACTTATCTGGTGTCATTACTGTATAACAAAATCTCTATAAGAAGATAAATCCATAAACTAAGTACTTATTAACACAATACCCATAACTGTTTGTAATCTATTTGGACTAGTTTTAATCAACTTAATCCAATCATAGTCAACACATACTTATTAGCTTCATTAATCATAGAGTTTTTTAGTTGAATACGGTACAATTATATCACAGACAGAAATAGATAATATTAATTACCATAGTTAATATAATAAACAAATAATAATTTATCACAGATTGAAATCTTATAATCACAGACATACAAATAATATAAAACATGGTTTAATATACAATTAGATAGTTCTACATATCTTATACAAAAACCTTAAAGCTTTAAGCCAGCAATAAGAAGATTTAACTAACATAACTTTAAATACTTGACAAAACAGAAATATTCTAAAAATGATCACTATGGGCCTTAATTGTAGATGAACAAGATGTTTTATTTCCATTTGTTGAAAAGTAATACAAAAAGCTGAAAATGAGCTTTACCAATACTAAGCCAAATATTTACATGTGGCATAGTATTTACCAAATTGGTAAGACAAAATTTCCGATGTGTTCAATGTTAACAAAAAGGTTTTGTTATTAAAACACTATGTGTGCTTCACACTTATTGTGTTTGAATTCAATTAGATTCAATTGTATTTATTTGGGGGGGGTTGAGATGTTCATAAAGAAGCTATCAGTATCAGCCTTTGTATAAAAAATCCAAAACTAAACCTTTACAAATCACAATCCATTTCAAGTAGGAGTTAGTGTCAATTTATTCTGTAAAAATTGAACTATTCAAAGTACAAAGCAAATGAAGTTCATAAAATTTTGACATAAACAGATAATCCAAGAAAGATTTTACAATGTTAACAAAAATTACTGATTCTGTGTACAAAAGTGAGACATGCTTTTAAAACAATTTTTGTTATTCTGAAGCGATACTGCCCCTTTAATTCAATTACCAACCTTAATAACCCCCAGCAGTGTCAAACAATCTTAATTAAGAAGGTTTTTCAAAAACTAAATCAATAGAGTTACATTAAAACAAAAAACAAACATAACATGTAAATATCAATATTTCTAAACAAATTAAAGACTAACAGGACGGCTTAAAGGAATGGCAAATAAATAACAACACAAGCAATGGAATGTTAATACAGACTTATCAAAATCAAAATGATAAAGTTTGGACTCATTTTTCAATAATTGTTATGCACAACAGCACACCCAAAGATTTTCAAGACAATTAGTTCAAGTAAGATGAATTACTCAATAACTTTGTGATTTATTAACATATCAGGTACATATACTCAGGTTAATTCTATATTGTTATTCTTAAGGTATGGGATTTGTCATAAATCATTGGAGATCTAGATATTGTCCCTTAATGAGATTATCACATCTCAAACCACAAACAATCAGGGGAAGTCAATTTTTCTGAATAGCTTAATCCGGGTTGGATATTTTCTGCAAGGTGATTAGGAGTTGTGGGTTTGAATTCTCCTCAAGGTTAAAAACATTATGAAGAAATGACCCATGCTTTCATGTGACGACCCACTGTTTCAATATCTTTCAACTATACAAGTCCTTTCTAAAAATCTCATCTTTTCATATCATTTAAAGTCACTTAATTCATGCACATAAAACAAATTAAATCTAATATTCAAATTTACATAACACAATGAAAATTGAATGATTTTTAAAGGATATCACATTATAACTAAAATCAAGTATTTATATAAATAAATATAATAAAATAAATAATATAACTATGATACATTTATTAATATCAATAAAATTATAACAAATGATACACTATATAAGCTGCCCTTTAACAGAATACTAGCTACAGGGTGTATCCATAAAAACCTTCAAGCTCATGTCTGTTGTGCTTTTATAGTATTACTTAACCACAATGTTATATCCTAACTTTTCAATTTGTTTTTAGAATCCAATTTTTTCTGCACCTCAGAAATCAGGAAATGTTCTAAATAAATCATTGTCTACAGATTTTCCAAAAATAACATAAAACTTTTTGAGTTAGAGCACTTCCTTTAAATATTTTCACATTTTGCTTGAAGAATATTCTAAAGGGAGGCTCAGGTTGACTGGCAAATCACAGCATCACCATCACCAACAAATGGCAGGATCTGGCTGAGGTGTGAAAAATCCAGCCAATGATTTGCCAGGTCGACCGAAGTCTCTATTGAATATGTATAATAAATAATATTAATGAAAGTTATGAATTAGTAGAGCGACTGGTTGGTGGTCGAGATCGTCTTGCTGTGGCTGATCTACCAACAACGTGTGGGGTACGTTTCTGTGAAGCACTGTGACGAGTTCGAGGTATAGGTGGTTTAGCACTGGTAGGTGGCATATTAGCCACATGACTGTCCTGAAAACAACAGCAATCAATTCAATGGTTATAAAATGGCTATGTTAGCTGATTTACTGATATAGATTGGATATATCTGTATCACAGTCTGAGAAAGCAGAATCGGATTTTTTTTTTTTTTGGACAAATGTGCCATTTGACCAATCATATCTAAATCTCAGAAACAGGAATTTTTAGCTAGGCCAATCAGTAATACCTAGTTGTTCACAGCTCACCGTCAAAATTTGAGCGTTCAAATCCATGTGTGTCCACGTTTTTCAAACGAAAGTATTGCCCCATGCTTTTTGTGTGCTGTCCATCAAACAAGGATGTGACTCTTCCTCACTTGACAAGGGAAAAGGGATACACAAATTTGAAGATACGGTCTGACCTAAGCCAGGATCAAACCATAGGCCTCTAGGTTAGCAAGCAAGAATTTGAATTGCTAAGCCACCACAGCCCGCAAAGACAATTTGAAAGAAAATACTATCTTAAATAACAAGACAAAGCAAAATTTGCAATAATGTGGCACACATCAATTTACATTTCCTAGCAATTTTATTTTATAAGTCTATGCTTGCAAATTGCAATAGTGCTACAGATATGAAACAAAACGGCAGGGATATGCATGGTGCAGATTGATATGTGATATAGTAACATCCATGCAATGCATAGCATAATAATGAAAATCAAATAAAAATTCATGTCAGGATATTCCAAGTATGCATAGCTAAATATATACACATATTCACCCATTCCAAG